GAAATAATTAAATACGCAACTGAGAAGGAAACGTGCGTGAAATAATTAAATACGCAACTGAGAAGGAAACGTGCGTGAAATAATTAAGAACACAACTGAGAAGGAAACGTGCGTGAAACAATTAAAAACACAACTGAGAGGAAAACGTGCGTGAAATAATTAAAAACACAACTGAGAAGGAAATATATATTTAAGTAATTCAAAAATGAGAAGAATGGGCTATTCTGCGAACCCTAACCAGTCCATTCTAGACAAAAAAGAAAAAAACTCTAAGCAGTGTTATTAAAGACAACGTTAGTTCGAAATTAAGCACTTTTTTTGTTTTTAATACGATTCGATAAGAGATTATTTGTCAGGCACGTGCTTATCTTCTACTCATTTTAGACCTTCATGTTTTAGAAATTGAGCGTACTACTCAAGCCTAATCTCACCATTTTCCCGTCTTTTCCACTTTGAGCGAATGAAAACGGCCAATACAAGCGTGATGATGACAAGGGCGACTACGATGGCAATCAGGATGGCAAGAAATGGGCGAATGATAATGATTCCCTCGCCAGTTCCTGAAAAGAATACAAAGGAAGTCTTCGTCATTATAATAGTTTAGTACGTAATGAGTGCTCGAAATAAACAAAATTACATGCATTCACGAACAGTTAAACCTTAGTTGATAAGAGAGCATCATTGAATTTCCATGCAGAAACAGAAAGACGAATACTGTATGCTCTGGTAATAATACTGGTCTTAACAATACTGTAAGCTCTGGTAATAACACTGGTTTTAACAATACTGTAAGCCCTGGTAATAATACTGGTCTTAACAATACTGTATGCTCTGGTAATAATACTGGTCTTAACAATACTGTAAGCTCTGGTAATAATACTAGTCTTAACAATACTGTAAGCTCTGGTAATAATACTGGTCTTAACAATACTGTGTGCTCTGGTAATAATACTGGTCTTAACAATACTGTAAGCTCTGGTAATAATACTGGTCTTAACAATACTGTAAGCTCTGGTAATAATACTGGTCTTAACAATACTGTATGCTCTGGTAATAATACTGGTCTTAACAATACTGTAAGCTCTGGTAATAATACTAGTCTTAACAATACTGTATGCTCTGGTAATAATACTGGTCTTAACAATACTGTAGCTCTGGTATAATACTGGTCTTAACAATACTGTAAGCTCTG